AAAGTCCTGTTCCTCTAATCATTTCTATGGTTTGTGCTCCAGAGGCGCGCTGAAACAAAACAATTGTGAAAGTAAAAAAATTAATGAATTCCACTCTCTTATGATCTCAAGCCATACTCGTCTGGAACGAGACTTGATGGTCAATGAAGTATTCACGCGTACATGCACGTACTTAACCCGGATTTAGAATATTCAGGAAAAAATATTCAGATCTTACAATATTCGATTAATTCGAGAAAAATACGACGGATGCGTCCGCGCTTACTCTCCTTTTTTTTTATTCCTTTTTGAAGGAAATTCGCAGTTTTTGTCAGCATAGATAGAAAAGTTTTGAGTAAATCCGGCCTTTACCCGGACAAAATCCATAAATTTCCCTGATGAAGAAATCCGAAAAACTGGAAAGTAGAAAACAGTCTTAGGTACGAAAAACTGGCAAAACTGCGGAAGTGCCCCGTAACATGGGATGAGTGGGAAATTAACACACTCGATTAACAACGTAATGTTGCTTTTGTATTGCTAACGCGTAATCTCGAGTATGGACGCGCGTCCGATTTTTCCCGGGCAATTTTCCAGAAAAAAGGAGCTTTCTATGCTCGCGTAAATACGATAATTGATCAAGGACATAATTATTGTGCGGCAGATTAACGCGGAGCTGACATTGATGTTGTCTAAAAGATGACAGCCGTGTCGTTGTCGACACCTGATGCGGTGTATCCGAGTGCGGGAAAGCGCGACTGCGTGCTCTCACCTGCGGGCTAATTCTCATGACTGTATCGCGTGTCTGGAAAGTAAGGCCGCATACGTTATCGGGGCACGATCGTTTATGAATGTCTCTCAAGTCCTAACAAATGTAGGTCAGGTAGACGACACTGCGTTCGTTTGTCGGCACGTTAGGCTTTTGCGATAGGGTAGAAAAAGGTAGACCTTGCTGCGGAATACTTGACCTCCGCAATTTCTAAAAAGTTCTTTATCTTCCTCGGCAGCCGTGGCTGGGAATTACGACCTAGAACGGAGGGGAAAATAATTTCACGATCCATGGCTAGAAGATTCTCACGCTGTTGATCCTCTGACTGATAAAAACTATTTACTAACTGAGAGAATCCACCTATATTTTTAATAATCTCGTGAACAAGTCAAGTTCGTATAGATGCATGATTAAAAAAAGCACGTAAATGCGATTACAAATTCCAATGAAAAACTTCGATGTAATGGAAAAGTATTAAATTTAGCTTAAACTGGAGAAAACCCAAGATGATATTTGTCAAGGAAGTCACGATCTAAACACGCCGGAAGGAAAGCGCTGCGTCGAGTAGCATTTTTGGGATATAGTCGTAGATTTCTTTTGGAGTCGACCATGAATACCCTTTCTTTATTCTTTAGCAATAGATCGTAGGGGAAGAATAGCACGTAATCGGATTACCAAAGTCATGACCGTAGTGAAAAACGGCCTGATCCCTTTATTCCAAATCGCGGCTGAAAACATTACCGGAATGCATTTTCCGTCGTAAGTTGAAAACGTGAGCTCGATTTTCGCCGACAGTTCCATTCAGGACAATAAATTTATCACCGCCTTGATATATATACTCAACTGCGCTCAATATTCTTTTGGAGTCCGACACCGGGAAAGTACTGTACAATACCCAGCCCAAACGTCCGTGAATGGTCAAAGAAATACTGGAAGCCCCACTGGAAGCCAGTCGTCCGTTGATGCGTATCGGAATCCTAGTGGAAAAAAGGGTTCGGGTTTCTTGTTTTAAACGGAAAAAGTTCATCCTGGAAACTTGCGAATATAAGAGGCGATGAAACTCATTTTGAGAGGAGCTGCGATTTCATATACTGTATAGTAATGTATCTTGAAGCGGAACGACCTTCACTACACATATATACTGGCTGAATGACACGGTGAGTTACTCATGCCATCTCAGGGATCATTCTGTCTTCTGAGCGTCTGCTGAACTGATCTGATAAACTCTGTTGTCTTCAAATGCATGTGATCTCACTCAGTCACGAAGATATCTGATCATAGGGATATTACAGTATTTGAACAACACGTTCGAACCGATGACAACATCATGTTTTGAGGCACTATCCAAAATTTCAAGGTTTCATTTATCGCTGTACATTTTCACGAAGTCTCAATCTTATTCGAGAAATGCGCCAGTCTTTTTACTTTCCAACCAAATGTTTAATCCTATTCACTCACGCTTTCGTTCCCAGAGGTCTATTATATTCCTTATTCTTGATGAATAAAAAATGCCTTGCGCTCTAGCACGTGTTAATTGTTTGTATTTTTGCACATTATCAACGAAATACTTATGCCACTTTTAACTCAGATCTTTAGATAATTACATGCCTTGGTTCAGACAGTTGAAAATAGTATCTTTTTCCTCTATTTTGAGTGAAGCAATGCATCTGTAAGGTGGACAATAACATTTACGTAAGATTGACAGCAAAATCCAGTTGATCGAGGATGTTAAAAAAAATGTGTTCGTTAAAGTAAAATAAAGTTGTATAGGACTGGTGCTGATACCTATCTGGAAAGTTTTTCCTCGTATATATTTGATGCAATCATGAAAATGGAAGTCCAATTCCTAGCGGAAAACTTAAAAACAAACTTCATGAAATACAATATATGGATAAGGCATTTATTTGCAAGTGAATTTTCTGCATGCACCTTTTGAAATACGATGTTTTAGCAAATCTCTGGCCTCCGTTACGTTGCCTTAAATTACGATACAACAACAGCGGAATCTATTAGCATTTATCGCCCCAGCAAGTTGACTATTCGGACCTGCTGATCTGTATCTCAACGTTGAAGTTTCATCTGACGCTCTGCTGTTTTTCCTACCGCATCACGAAAACATGCGAGGCTTTCTGTTTGAACGGGAAAACTATACGAGTTGGAACCGAGATTTACAGTAATTCCCTTGTCAGACGTTTCAACGGAAGTTTCAGAGCGTAAATAGTTGAGTGTGCACTCACTTGTTTCCTATCGTTCCGTTTCATCAAATCGCTTCAGTTCTTCAAATTTTACGGAAGCGTAACACGTGCCATTGATTTCAATATGTTTTTCCTCGCCTCGTAGCTTCCCAGTGGAATGTGAATTCCTATCGCAACGCCGTTCGCTCCTATATAGCACTTCGTACCCCCCCCCCCCTGTTTCAAGAACCTTTGAGACCATGGTAAAATCGAGAATTGAACTAAGAAATAATAGTACGCAATGCATGGAGAATCTGCTGTTGAAGAGGAAGCGGTGAACAATTAACGTTCCGAAAGGGATCGGCTGTGAGAACATCAAAAGCCTTCGCTTCAAAGGCTTTTGATTCGCTGCCCGAATGTTCTAGACCCACGTAACGGTGTTCGTGTGGCGAGAACCTGTTCCTCCACTAGCGCCTCCTCCGCGAAGTCCCAATTGGACCTGCAGAGTTATTGTCCATTCGAGGGCCATTTTTCTTAGCGGTCGTGAGCATCAACAACCTCGCCATTGACGGGTTACCAAGTTCTCTCTCTCACACACTCTCTATGCGTTCCAAGAACTGCTTATTATTGGTCTGCAGTTGACAGCTTTCATGCAATTCGTGGAATTGTTTCGATATTCTCTAATGGACACACGCGCTTGCAAGATTCGCACGGCGGCGTTCCGACGTACTGCGGTACTTCCTTTGTGACGTGTGATCGTCAACACACTCAAGAATGTCAGGGAACAGATCTGGGAAACAATCATTATCCGCAATATGTAGACTAAATGGTGCTCCTTATCCCAACAATTCCCTATATTTCACACGGAACACTCCCGTAATGCGTTGCCCGGATTAATTCGAATGAAGGTTTCCCGTTTAGGATTTCCGTCTTAATTAGTGTAATTTCAGAACGTTCGCTTTACTTTTTTAAAGCTTCGAATTCTGTTATTACCATTTTGCGACTAAATTCTGGAGATGATCTCCATGTAACGAATTGCGAATACCCTCGACAGTGACAACATAAACAATCCTAATATAATTACTGTACTCGTACTTTCTCAAACCACATCAAAGGTATACCCGTTCTTCATAGTGATGGAATTCCGGCGATATTCCCCGTCTCAAATATAGTCCATTTTAAGGGGGGGGGGGGGGATGGTAGTGGTACATGAACAACTTCAATCAAGCAAGCTTATCGCAGCTGGAATTCCTCGGAGGGTCGGCGTCTTTGAACATGGAATGCGCCGTTGGTTAATTTAGCCCCGGATAGAAGAGGTTTCTGCAAGCACTGAGTTTCGAGTTTCAATTCAGCACTACGGCTTAGAAATGTAGGCACAATGCAATTCGATGAACCCCTCCGTTGCTGGTCTTGTGATGAATTTCCGCGGGCGGATGGATGTTTGTATGGCGAGCGAGTACGTCGCATGGATTTTTCTTAGAAACCAGGGAAGGGGAATGTGTATTATTGAGATTATTCCTCGCGTCGCTCTAAAATTCGCATCGGTCAAATGAAAAATCGTTTTCTGGCAAATATGTGCGAGAATTTCTTTGACGAACACATATTCGCAACAGAATTGCGACGCCCGAACATATACTTTAGAATATGACGGAAAAATCCTGTGAAAGGAAGGACCTTGCTTTCTAAATACTGTAGCAGAATACTAATATTTTTTAACACTTCGGAAAACCATTGAACGGCTGAATTTACGGCAATTGAAATACATTTGCATATGTTACTTATTTGAAGGATATCATATTATTCGAGGATTGCCTGAAATGCTGAATTACTTCAACTGTGATTTTTTTTATTCAAATTGAATGTTTAAATGCAAACACGACGTTCTATCACAAATGTCAAATTTAATCTTGCAAATGCTCTGCTGCAATTTTTATGGCAAGCGGATAAATGGAAAATTAATCCCTCACCAAACCTTTCTTCCATCGACTTTCTGTATTTTACTCTTTCTTTGCGAAACAAAAATTTATTGATGTGAATGCGCACTCCGTTCGTTAACGGTATACTTCTTTTCTTCGTTTCAGGTGCCGGAGAATCGGGAAAAAGCACGATTGTGAAGCAAATGAAGTGAGTAATTTTGAAAATTTATGCTTCACTCTGATCCGCAAAACTGACACACATCGATCCCTACGTCCACCTTCGGTAGGCCGGAAGCTAACATGGGAATATGATTGATGTTCCGCGCGTCGCACCTCATTACGGATTCATTAGAATGCTCCGTATGGTTCGAGGAACAGGATAAGTTTTGTATCTGTCAAATGAAGTTTTTGAAGCTACATAATTTAGTACAAATGGTAACTGGGACAATCCTGAAATAAATCATGAAACCGAAGTCCAAAGAAAGTTTTGATATCATATAATTCGAGGAAAAGCATCTCATGAACAATTGAGATGCTGTTCACAAATTTATGAAGAAAAATGCCTAATGCGCATCGCAATTCCCTTTCTCAACTTCGGAAGCCTTTCAAGCGAAGCCATCATTTGATTCATTCTTTTAGTGGGTGCTATAACGGTGATTTCAGAGGAACTGATGTTTACTAATTTTAGAAACAGATTCATGACGTTAAGGGAGACTAAGCTCGCACAGGACTGATGCAAACGCATTCTTTTGAGTCAAATTCGCTTCACCGATCAATCTCAATGCTCTCATGACATCTGCTTAGTTCCCTCCGCAGATTACATTTATGATCCAACTAAAGAGCCTACTGGGGTGCAAGTAACTTCTCACCGACAAACAAGGCGTTTTCGCACGAATCTTTCTCATCTTTTCAACGAAGATTATCGCGAGCTTCAAAATAGATTTTTCGTCGTACTACGGAAAAATAAACAAAAGTGCATACCTTGCCGGGTTTTATTTACACCACCGTGAATGCCAAATAATTAATCGACTAGGAGAATACTACTTTACCAAGAAAACATGAACAGAAAACAGTGCTGGGCAGAGATCTTCCGCCAAGGATATTCTGTAAATCTTATAAATCAATTTAATACTACACGTACTGTATACCTAAGAAGGCTCGCCATCGTATGATAAAGTGGGATGGCTTGATTTATTTGAAGCCCCTGACACGATTCTTTCTAAATCCTTCACACATCTATTTGAAGATTGGATGTGATCGATGTTCTCCGACAGTTATTCGAATTATTATACTCAAGTTTAACAGTATATTCAGGTAAACGATTCCCTGATGATAATAATTAATTCAAAGTACAGTTAAGAAAATTTTTAGAAACACAGCACTCAAGGAGAATGGCAGGTGTCAAGGAAGCTGGGATACGTGAAATATTTCCTCCTGTTCACGAGATATTATTGATGCGGCGTTTAATTCCTTCCAGAATCATCCATGAAAGCGGTTTCACGAATGAAGACTTCAAGCAGTACAAGCCCGTAGTGTACAGCAACACAATTCAGTCCCTTGTGGCCATCCTCAGGGCCATGCAAAACCTGGGAATCCCGCCGGGAAGCCACGATCGTGAGGTGAGTTGCGATGCCACTGAGCGGTATACTGTAGTTTACCCAATACAGTACTAGCGCGGAAAGTTACGCCTCCCAAAGGGCGGAAGGAAGAGGAACGAAAACAAATTGAATATTTATTGAGGGTCGTGGAGCATGCTATCTTCGTTCCTGCCTAGAGTGCGAGTCCTTGTTTTTCAGTCACGTTGGGCTTCTTTTAGCGAAAAGGCGGGGTACGAGGATAGAATAACAGGCCTGACTGGATTTTCTCATGCATTTTTCAAGCGAATGGCGCAGAATGTCGAGCGAAATTGTTCACTAAAAGCTTTTATGGTCTGAAGTTCCCGGCCATGTCGATCCCATCAAACTTTCGGGCAATCCTTTGAATTATTCGACTAATGAAAGCATCGTTTTTGAAAATCAGCGGGACTCGTTCATCATTACCTTATCCGATCATCAATATCAATAAAAGTCGAAAATAAAGCTAGAACACGAAGATATTTTTTATTCGACTCGCCTGCATGTTCGTCAAAGAAACAGGATAGTTGCTGCTGACTTACCTGGGGCTCACACGTCGCATCAAAACGAACGAATTAACCTACCAATCAATCATCCAAAGGACTGATGATCGTTCTTCTATCTTCTAGACTGATGCCAAGATGGTGAATGATGTGGTTCAGCGAATGGAAGACACAGAGCCTTTTTCAGAGGAGTTGCTCGCAGCGATGAAGCGTTTGTGGTCGGATAGCGGAGTGCAGCAATGCTTCAGTCGTTCAAACGAATACCAACTTAACGACTCCGCAAAATAGTGAGTAATCCGATTTCTTTTTTTTTTAATTTATAACCGCGAATTATGCGTTGCTTCCGGAATACGTCTCGGAAGAACCGAAAGCATATTTTGTGAGGATTTAAACTTTAAAGATTGGGTCTTAGCATGGGTAAATACTGATCTTGTGGCTAGAACAGGAACACATATTGATGAGAAGAATTTTGAACCAACGCAGCTTCGAGTTACGCCTCGAAGCCGCTTCAAACCTTTCGTTTCAAATCGGGAAGTTTGTTCCTTCTTGGATCATCAAATCACTCAACGCACATTTATCTCTAAAAATGAATCGCCAGACCAGTCGACAGTCGATGCGAGGCTTTTCGGAGCACGCTGACATCGATCCTCAACTGGTGCACGTCCTCCCACGTTGTCGGAAAGTCGAGCGTGTATCTATTGTCTGTGAAACACAGCAGACGACATTCTTCAGCATCGATTTCCCATGCTTCAAGGGTTTACTAAGGGGCATATTTTAGCTTCTTTTTAAAGCTTGGTAGGCAGCGTCGCTCGTCGGTATAGATGAAGGATCTGTTTTTGACGCCTTCCATTAAATAAGAAGAAAAAGTAGTATCGAACGACAATAAAAATGTTCGATCCATCGGGAAAGAAAGGATCAAATTCGATTTAAACGGGAAATTTCAAGGGAATTCCCCGGTTATTATTTACGGTACTTTCCTATGTGGGTTATGCAAACAGTATGAATGTGATAAGCCTTTTCGGGAATTATCGGCGAGCAAGAAAATTCCGATTCTATTTGACGCTGGATGCCGGTTTACGTAAAATTAATGAGAGTGCTACAGTAGTACCGCGATTGTTCGATTCCTATAATTTAGGCTGTTCGATTAAATGCCTGAACTGGACGGTTATATTGTTCTCTGGAATGGGCAAACCAAGACGGAATCGTGCTTCCAGGGTCATGTTCCTCGGAAAAATCAATTTGCTGAGATTGCGTTGCTCTCTAGTGGGAATAAGAGAAAACTCCGAATAAATAATTCGTCCTCTCTGACCGAAAAAAATAAAAAATAAGATCAAGGAATTCAATTTTTCCATGCCTAACTAATTCAATCATCTCCTCGGAAAGGCTTTTATATTTTAAATGGTACAAATGTGTCTCATGAAATTGAACAATTTTGAACTGTCTCAATTCTCATCTGAACCCGAAGAAACATGAGGTACTCCCGTTGAACTAAAAACCTGCAAATTTGAGATTATAATATCATCTTAATGAATATGCACATTTTCGTCATTTTCCTCATTTTACAGCGGAACTTCGACCATCTAAACTAAACATTATCCGAAATATCAATTATCCAAAGCGTGTATTCCGTGAAATGGGCCTCATATATATATTAAGTAAGAAGAGAATATTTGCAACAAATCTAATCCAATAAACGTTTCCTCGAGGTGTCAATGAAATCGAAACATTATTTACACATTTTTGTTTCCAACGGAAGAGGTCGAGGTATGCATTATTTTATTTTTAAAATTTCAGGCCTTATGCTTCGTCTATTATAAAAATCTCCCTTATTATGAGGATTAATACATGTAGGATCCAGTGATTCTAGCATACAGTATTTTCTCCGGAATGAGTCTGAATGAGAAATACTGTGACGGGATATTCTTTTTATTTTTTTCCCGATTTGTGCACGAGTTTGATCGCTTCTGTAATTTTAAAATCCTTTCTCTTCTATAAGTGTATTTACCTGGATTCCGGAGGAAACATGTATCCCTTGAGCCTTCGGAAAAGCACGCATGCTGTCAAAAAGGGTTCTTTCGTCATTCGCTAGCTGACGCGCATTGATTCTGGCGGAGAAACGTGACTCTATTTGAATGGTTTTGAGAATCTCGAGCTTGTACAAAGTTTCTCCACATATTCGCACAGCAGATACTTGAGATTCTATTCAGCGACGGAATTCATTGCCTTCGAACGAAACTTGAGCCGACCGCGCGGGAATTCCGCGCGATTGAAATCCGAAGTATTCCTTCGAATAGATACAGCCCGTCCGCCCTGAATCCTCCTTGCGAGGGAATTGTTGCAGCGGATCCCGGGCTTGAACGTGACGGATTCCCGAGAAACTCTAGTAAACTGCTGTCGTAGGATTGATTGGAATTCGTTTATATACGCAAATCATGAGAGATTTCGCGAATCTTTTCCTGTGAAGCCCTTCCACTTATTAGCTGATATTTTTATGCTTGACATTTGAAGAAAAAAATAAAGCTGACAACCACGACGAGAGCGATAAACCCTTTTAGCTCCAGCAATTAGATGTCAGCGAGGGCGTGGAGTCACTAAATCCTACATGAGGTCCTGAAGAAATTGACGCTGCGTATCCTTATTTATCAAAACACAGCGAAAAAGTCTTTCTGTTCAATTTGAATGCTTGAAAATACTGTACCGACACGCGGTGTGTTTATTTTGATGGAACAGGCGTATCCGACTTAGTTAGAGGGTGCTTTTTGCTTTCGATATTTCTACGGAACATTACCACTTCTCAGAGACCTTGAAAATGTGAAAGCAACTCATTTTACTTCGATTTTCCGCGCCTTGCGTTAATGCTAGAAGCTTTCAGGGATACCTGTCGATATCTGCACACGACTGACATCTTGAGGAGGCGCTCGAAGGATTCTGACGCGTCCATCGAACTGGATTTCGATGGCATCCTCTTCAAAGAACATCACGGATCTTTTGACACGTGCAGGTCGAATGAAGCAATTATTCATCATGACAAACCTTATTCCGAATTGAAGGACCGTAAATGAGTTGAAACGTTGAAAATATTGCTCAATATGCGCATGTCCGTGGAAGTCCGGAAAATTGGACAACAGTTTATCACAAACACAAAAACACAAAATAAAAACAGAAAAAGAATACTAATGCATCGGACAAAAAGCCACGTTGTCGCTGGTCGTCGACTATATGACTATGATACTGTCAAAGGGTTGATTGTTTCGTTTTTTATTCTTTTGGGAATTCTTACGCATTGCCGGGGATTAAAAAAAAAACGTGCGAACGGTTTCAAAATTTGCACTTCAAGTCTAGAAACGTGTTCCACGGCGACGGCAATGGTTCACAACTTACTCAATCATGTATTCGATTATCGTCGCACCACATAATACCGTCCTTATGACAATAAATTGCGACACTCAGCTATGAATGCGCTTCTAATTTCGTTTACTTCGGAGCTATCTATTTTCTTTAACATCGTCAGGGTTGAAGTTCGACTATCGCCTTAGAAAAATGGAGATTGTCCTCATCGGAGCTCGTCACGATAGTCCGGAGGAATTGAAATGACGACTTTTACATCATTTTTCTAATTCAAAAGCTTTCTTGGTAAATTTAATACATACTGTATATCATTGCTGATAACTGCGATAATACTGATTTTAGCATATAACGGACTTTTAGATGTGCCAATTAACTATACAGTACTACCAGGCCAAGCTCTTCCATTGGATAATTTTTTAACAACGGATGTCGCTATCTTTTGTGTTTCAAGAACTCTGGGAGACGAAAAATGCAACCGTTCAGAGAACAGCTGGCTAACTAAGCTTCTCCGTTTCGGAGTATTTTCCTTGGCGGGGATTAGAGATGTGTGACGCGAAATTGTTTTTACAATCTGGTTTCCTGTGTGTAGAAACACTTCGCAGTGCACCATAGCAGCAAGACACGCGAATGACTGCGTCACTCACTGCTCCTTAGTGAACATCGAAGTTTTGATCTTGGCAGACCGTCGAAAAATCTAGGAATGATTTGCGGGAGAAGCGTTGAATAAGACCTTGCTGCTATTTCCGTATTTTTTAGAGAAATGGACGCGGAAACAGAAAATGAGCTGATTTGACGATTTTTTGTGTGTAGAAGTTATGGAAGGATTGCTTGGTACGCTCCTGTGACTGGAAGAATCGAAGAAGGGATAAATTCAAATTATTGTAATCCATCCCAAGGGGAAGCAAAATAGTGCGTCCGATTCTCCTGGGGTTTTCTCACAGCTTTCTTGAACTTGAATCCTTTGCGTTAGAAACTGTTCCGTATGGTTGTCAACTCCAGGTTGCCTGAAAATGTCAGCTCATGTTTACGGATTGCTCCCTTCCAGCCATTATTAAGATTCATGTTTGATGAGAAAACACCATAGCGCTTCCAGCGGGCTGTCGGAACCGGTATTTAAATATTTGCATAAGACATATTCGTAGGCGAGCGACTATCTGCACGAGTGAGTAATAACATGATAGCAATTTTGATGCATTCCACGGAAAACGGGTCTTGGGATGCATAAGTAATCTGCCGCTTCGCGGCTCAAATATGCAGTCAAGCAGGTCTTAAAAATGATGGAAGGGTGCCCTCGATTGCATTTTCATAGCGAGTCATTAAAAAATCTGCCCGCATTTAACCGCAAACGCATGATTTATCTGAAAAATAATGAGGAGGCGGAGCGAGATCTGCTTTTGGACGAATCGCGGGTGCCTTCCTTCTGTATTATAGAGACGTGCTCCTGACAGAAGTTCTCCTGAAAACGGCACACTAAATCAATAATAATGGGGCTGAATCGTTTGAAATAGGAGAATCTACTATTGCCGACGCAAAAGCGCTTGTGTTCGCAATGAAAATACGTTTTGGCGATTTTTGGCCGGCGTTCGTGCATGTAAAGCCTTATGCAGACGCTTGATGAGATTCTCTGCTGCGCAGCGCCGTAATGGTCATCCGTGCAGCAGGCGAGTCTTGCTGATGCAGCGGGGCAGGGCTGCTGTCAGGATTTCAGAGGAAGATTTTTGGGTTCGAGCCAAGATTCATACATCCCTTGCGGTGCTGATGCTCATCCACGGATCCCCCCCGCGAGTTGTCGAGCTTCAGCTCCGGTAATTTTTCTATGCCAACTTCGCTTCTCCTTGAACCCCGCGGACCGCTTCCGGGGAGAGCTTTCCTGGCTGTACTGCTCAACTCCAGGGATGGTATTACCAAAGGAAATACAGTATCCCTGAACTATTTTTGTGTGTATGTGTGTGTGTGTGTGTCCAATGTCATCGGACTTGTTCGCCAAATAGCGGGGCCTAGACGTTGGGAGAGCTTCTCATATGCTCATGTTATTTAGTCAAGGAAATGCTGCGGCAGAATCGGCAATTCAAAGTGACGGATCTTCTTCGAAAGCGGTTTACGGGAATAATTTCCAGATCAACTCCGTCTTTTTTTTTTTTGCGAATCAGAAAGCGGAAAAATTCGCCCTCGATCAATGGACGCGTTCAGGTTATGCATCGCATCACAGAAACCCGCGCCTGTCTTCATTAATCCCTTCCCTCATTTCCCGCGGGATCACTTCATTTGAAGCCCTTTTGATTTCTGTTCATTATTCAGCATGACGAGAACTGCGACAAATGAACCCGTCGATTTCAGTTTGAAGCCGTATTCCTGGTGATGTTTGCCGAGTTATTAACTCGACGGGAAAGCATGTCAGATACAGACTTGATTTCCCTTCGATTTTCCCAGCTGAATTAAACTCGAATGCTGGCTTATCGCAGAAGAAACAAGCAGAGAGCATTTATGGTGACGCGTTTGTTCCCCGGGAGATCGTCAATGCATTTTTATTATACTGAGAGTTCATCCTTGATTTTGAGGCAATATAGGGCATGGGAACTTCTATTAAAAGTGCATTGTATTAAAATTTTAGAAATGCTCGAAAGAAAGCAAAGGGAACTGCTTAATTTTAAATTCAGCAGATTCATGCTTCTCTGATCGAAAAAACCATGTAGATTTTTAGTGGAATTTTAATCCGAAAACAGCATTTGATACAGCTGTAGTTTATTTTCCATCAGTTGGATTCTGGCGACTGCGGTGTTGCGGTGTTCGATCATCCGTTATCTGGTCAAACGGATGATCGGAAATCTGATTTCTCAGAAGCTTTCATCGAACTGTTTTGCGAAGTTTTCAATAAGAAAGTCGCGAAAGTCAAAATGCATTTTCACCAAAACAAAAAAGTCAAAATCAGGCATTTCATGTAGGCTTATGGAACCTAATTGGCGGGGATACGGCTTTCATTAGATCTATATTCTCCCATATCTGTAACCTGGTAACACTGATCTTGCAAGTTGGAGGCTGGGGAAAGCGAGATTCCTTCTCACTAGAAATCGTCGCTGAGGGATCATAAATTTCCTGGGATGGGCCCCGAAGCGCTGGGCTCCGCCTACAACGCATCTCGATCCCCTTCGTAGCAGGTCGTTGTCCAGTCCTTCAGTTCCCATTAATGCTCCGTCTTGCCAGAGACGAAGTCTCTGGAGAAGGTATGTCTCGGCACGACCATCGCCTCCGTGATCAAATTAGCAGCAGCAGGCATTCCTCGAAAAAGTCAACCTTGGCCGAGATATGCGCAAATTCATCCTGGGAAGTGTTTACCAGTCTGACGACGGACTTCCTTTTGAAGAATGAACAGCGGAATAATAGCATAGCACCATCCTGTACAGTAGGATCAAACGCGGCTCAGTACCAAAGTGCCGCCCCCCCCCCTTTCCCGCCCCCGACTGCGGCAAATGGAGGAGTGACACCACCTCCGTGATTATTTTGATCTTGGGCATTAGGCGAGAACTCAGATGTCGGAGAAGAAGACACCGCGTCGGTCTGCGAGCGAAGAAGGTTTTCTGCTTTCAAGCAGCAGACGTGTCACTCTCACATTCTTCGTGCCGAATGTTTCTTGTGAACGTTTCCGGCGCCGCTGCGGCAAGGACAATTGTTATGTCCAACAGACAGTACGCTTTGTTTTTTGGTGCGTTCGTACATCATCAGGACCAGTAATCCCATTGACTCAAGCCTGCAGTCGTCCTTTACCGGAGTCCTCATTCATTCGGTCAATCCACGGCTTGCCAGATGCTTCTCTAGCCTGGCATCTGCAACGGGACCATCTGGCTCGTGTCCCGCTTCACCATAACCTCGTCTTCCCACAAACGTAGTACAGTATATAAGATAATCTTCTGTAATTTGCCCTTGCCAAGGAATGAACTGTTCAAGCGTGCAACGGAGTAATCGCATATGGAAATAACCAGAGCTGTTAGAAATACGCGCCTTTGCGCATCTTCAACCTCATTCTGTTCTCCAAAGACTGCCTTTGATTGGGAGCCGTAAGTCAGCAGGCGCCATTTGAAATTCCAATTTGAGCCCGTGATCGTGAGTGTTGAATCTAACTTCACGACAATCAAAAACCTAGCGCAAGTGCTTATGATGGACCATTTTTTCTAATGAATTGCGTAGAAAGTCTTGCGTAGCCATTCTCACGGAAACGTCGTACGCACGCAGACATTTCTTCTGCGATTTAAAAAAGCCTCGGATTAGCTAGCCACCAAGTTTTAGCATTTGATTAGTTGAGAAATTCTTTCTTATCGTGTAATATTCCCGGTCTGCGAGGAGGAGCGGATGACATGACGTATATTGTACTCGTATATGCGCCGTGAGCATATTTTTCATTACTCCAGCGTTTTTATGGCATGTTTACTCTTACCGATGGAGCAGATTCGAGTACTGTTTATGCTTCTGAATTCCTTGCATTCTACCTCACATCCCTGAGGATATGCTCTTTGAAAAAATGTTCCCACCCTGTTCCCTGCTGCGCGGGAATCTTCATCTACAGATTCTGGAGAGTTATGTTTTGAAAGCAACTCTCAATCAGTTGGAGTATTTACGTTGATTAACTGCCCTGTGCCTTTTTGAAAATTCATCTCGATGTTCTCCATTTCAAAATGGAGCTAGCAATAAGAACTGTGCCCGGATAATTAATTGCATGGGGTTGCCAGAAGAAGCGAAAGTTGGATCCATTTAGAATCCCAGCTTTTGCCGACCTGTTTCGAATCAAGTTACTGTCTACCTCCATAAAACTTTGACTTCAGAGCTGACGAAAGAAAGATGGTTGACTCGGGATAAACGCATGCATATGTAGCCGGACAGCCTTCATGCAATTAAAACAAAAGAAGTTGATTGCGGTGGCTCACGAGACATCAAAATACAATCTCATTTCATGGGAATCTCTGGGAGATTCAGAAATGCTAGTATGAAAATCCATTATTCCATGGCGTTTTCTTTATTCAGGGAGCTCTTCTGTTTTTCGTCGCAATCAAACAGAGCGTTCTGAAAAATGTACGCTGCTGCAGAAGAAGAGCTTGGATCGGATTCCATCAAACATATTTGCCGATCTCTCTTGAATCGTGAAAACCTTAGAGGATTCAAAGGAGACACAGTTCATGTTTTGTTTTGATATTTTCTCCAAACAAATATTTGATTCGTTACCATTGGCTCGAATTTTGCGCATACAGCATTATATTTTTTCTGTTAAACAAATAATTTTTTACTGCCGGAAGTCTTGAAGGAAAATCATGCGTGACCATAGTGTAATCGAAAGGCTAAATAGTTCCCGGAAAAGGTTGGGCATGAATTTCGAAAACTGCTTCTTGGAAAAGCGAGGGGTTTCTATGTCACACGCAACTTCTCGGAAAGGTCAGTAAACCGTAGCAGTGGGAAAGATCTTTTCCATCGACCCAACGGTAAATAAGTTGACTTTGATGTCGCATATGCCAAGCTCTAAAGCGCGTTGCACGATCGACTCCGTCGTATGATAGGGTTCTCAAGAAGCACGTTATCCGGTCCAGTGGCTGGCACGTTATTAGTTCTAAACAAAGAAGCGCAGCTCAATGGGTCACAGATCATCAATGATTTTTGCCTGGCTGAGCTCAAGCGTCAATGGAAAGGAACTAGACCGAATATCGACTTTTTATGGCGATCCTTTCAGGTGCCGGATGTGAGGTAGTTTCAAGGTATAAATGCGGGAGTTCTGTTTGTTCAAGATTCACGCATGAATAAAAAAAAACGAAGCACAGCAAATCGAAATTATTCTGAAGGTCTAAGAAATGACGCAATCCATTCTCACATGCCTTTGAATACGCACAGTAATCATAGCATGAAAACAATGAAGTGCCTCAAAACACATTTTTGTCTAGAAGTACTTTCAAATCGTATCATTTTGGACAACTGACAAAACATGTTGCCGCCTGATGCACCAACCAGATAAATCAGTTACCTTTCTCAAAACCCGCCGTCCGTTACGAATGAAGGAAGCTCAATTATATGGTATGAGAGACCGGTACAGTACTGAATTTCAAATACGTCCTGATCCAGCGGCGAAGTCATCAAAAGGAAGAAAGATCGTTGAAAGCTTCCGCCGTAAAAATGTCGACACTGGTTGTTTCTGCCTAAAGAAAAAATCTGCTTCGATCTTGTGGTTTACAAATTTATGAAAACTGAGAAACAGTGTAGAGCACTGCATATATGTAATCGAAACGCACATTTATGGTTAGAGAAGTTGGATATTTCTTGACGATGGCTCGAGAAGGTCAAATGATATACCTGTGCGAATATCCGCTGAAGGGTTCGATTCTCCAATGTGGAACATGCATTATTCACACTGATCAGGTTAAGAGGAATAAACGAGGTTCGGCGCGAAGATTGGAGTCCATTTGCGGAAAGGGCTGAATCAATGGGAGGGAACGTCCCCCTTGGGGGCGTCGTTGGTGATCGAAGGTCTCGATGGCCGACGCTCGCGGTCACCAGCCCCGAAGTCTGGCGAAAATGTTCGGTCCGTCGACTCACTTCTGCCTCAGTCGTTTCATCATATCACCGTTAAGCTCCGACGTCAGCGGAGGGCGTTATTCGAGGTATTTGCGTCAGCTGGAAGCCCACTGCCGTCAAGATTTTCCTCCCGTATTGACTCCCCTGATGAAGAGTGCCACCTTGAACGTGGCTGGGAATTAGATCCAATGTGGCCGTGGAGAAATTCCTTTCCGTCGTGATTTAGTTTTTGACGCTGCTTTCGTGACCCAATGCAAAAATGTGAAGAGCCATTCATTGAAATGCCACCGTTTCATTGCAGCTTTCTCGACGACCTCGATCGACTTGGTGCTCGGGACTATCAGCCAACGGAGCAAGACATCCTCCGCACGCGTGTCAAAACTACCGGAATCGTTGAGGTTCATTTCTCCTTCAAAAATCTGAATTTCAAGTAAGTGATGGCCGATACTTCTTCAATCTTTGTGTGCATGTGTTTTTGTTCCCAACATAAAGAAGGTATTACTACTTGTTTGCCTCATGAGTTGCATGTGTGTAGCTCATTACTTGTCCATTCTATTGGATGTGGAGATTTTTTAGAAGAAAAAGTCGTGTCAGTTCAACTCGTCGCCATTTAGATGCTTCCTTTCGAAGTGACCGTCATACCCAACTGGTGGCAAAGACCAATGAGCATAAAATCAAATGAACATATTTTAAAGCATGTTGGCGTGTGTGCAGCATTAGAGTTTTTCATGACGTCCAGATGGTTTTGGTGGCCAGTATGGGGCATGATGTCCACTTGAGCGGAGCAAGTCGGACATGTGCATTGAGATGGCGACGACTTGAATTTGGCTGCCAGTATTGGAGGGAATGGAAAATGCGATGATTTTCATGTCATCGACGTGGAGATGGTAAATGAATCTAAAAGAGCACGGATACAGTAAAAACATGTAATCAATTCACGAATTCGTCCAATTCTGTGCGGTTTTTGTGTCAACTTCTCATTTCGTCAATTATTCTTCGAGCGGAAGGAAATCATGGTCATGTGGATGATCAATGTGTAGTAAGCCTTTCCCGAGAGCTTTTTCGAGGTTTCATCGTGAATCATTTCTCTGGAAAACTCTTCCGACCATATAGAAGCTCAGGCATGGGGTATGATATGATAGTGGTAGATATCGCTGTTGCCAACGCTGAGGAAAGATTCATTGTCTGACGTAGACCCGTATTGCATTTTTCCTCCGACAGACTTTTCGACGTCGGCGGGCAGCGTTCCGAACGAAAAAAGTGGATTCATTGCTTCGAAGACGTCACAGCCATTATTTTCTGTGTGGCCATGTCCGAGTATGATCAAGTTCTCCACGAAGATGAAACGACGGTGCGTTGACCTTCAATATTTTTTGTTGCGGAAACGTACAGTATTCAAGATCTGTACAGGAATAATTATGCCTACGCGTCATCTTTTTCTTGCTTTTATAGAACCGGATGCACGAGAGCTTGAAACTTTTCGACTCCATCTGCAACAACAAATGGTTCACGGATACTTCCATAATTTTGTTCTTGAACAAGAAGGATCTTTTTGAAGAAAAGATCAAGAAGTCGCCTTTGACAATATGCTTCCCAGAGTATCCAGGTAAGCTCGCAAAAAATTCGAAATGCGTTGCAACGCCCTCAAAAATTTTGCGGTTCATCATTCCGCATAAAAATACTGTACTGTACGCTATTCTTTCCATCCGCCATTGAATCCCGGCAATTTCCTGTCCGACCAGAGACTGGCTCCGGTTTTTTTTAATGCGACGTCATACATATTTTGAATGCTCTTAGACTTAGAATCAAGATTTTTGGCACTCGTTGATTGATGAAGCTCGACAGCTCGTAGACCTGCTGATAACTAAAAATCATTGCTCAATCAGATCTGCACCTTACAGTACAGTATTATCTCGAAAAGCTTCAATGGGAGTTTCATGGCGGAGGCAACTAAATTCTTAGGGGTTATAGAAAATCACCGTATGGAATCCCGCGGAAGTGTACTCATATTTTTCAGCAGAAATCGATTCATGACATTCACTTCGAAAAGCATCAAACGTGATAAACTATTTCCAAAGTTTACCGCCTTTCTGATTTTCGTACTGTCGAAAATTGGAAAAATTTTTGGGTTGAAGTACTGTATGTGCAGCCGAATAAGAAACCTAAAAATAAGCCGACGTTGATTAAAACTATATGTTGTTCTGGATTGAACTGTGCAAAACTGACGTCTCTATATACGTTCATCAAATTGTGTCAGTTTTTTTTATTTTATTTTTTTTCAAGGCGTCTCAGATGCGATGACGAAAAAATGAAAATGTGTGCCTCCCGTCTTCGAAACTACATATATAACCGTCCATTCTTCAACAAAATTTCCACACTCATGAAAATATTGATGGAGTTTTAATAGCGTAAGGATCTCGCGTTTAATACTTTGAAGAATCGTTGAAGGTATTTTAAATTTCATTGAATATTCATATACTGTATGTCGGAAAAAATAATTACATTCCAAGTGAACGGGTGCTGATCGAAGTTAAAAATATGACTCCCGTCAGAACACTCCATTCATGATCAGTAATCGCCCTTCTTATAAGATGATGAACATGCTTTGAGGGCAAGTAAGCGGCTTTTCAAAGCAGATCATTCCGATGGAGTGGGAAAAAATAATATTATGGGGATGCCGTAGTCTCAAAACATTCCACATTATTCCGAGAGTGGCATTGACGATGAATTTCCTCCAGGTGCCCAAGATTACGGAGAAGCGGCAGCCTACATTCAAGCTCAATTCGAGGCGAAAAACAAGTCGGAAACGAAAGAAATCTACTGCCACATGACCTGCGCCACGGACACCAACAACATTCAATTCGTGTTCGATGCCGTCACCGACGTGATCATCGCGAATAACCTCCGAGGTTGTGGCTTGTACTAGTTCCATCCCCCCTCCCTGTTGAAGGACTAGTGAAACTCGCCGGAGTGGATCTGAAGGAGGCCCGTCTACTCGTTGTTTCCGTTGCTGCTTTATTTTCTTCGCCGGGGAATGTTTTTGTCGACGGGGTTAGGTCATTTTTAATCCGCGTCCTCGGGACGTGGGCAGAGTTTCGTTTTATTGTGTGCACCGCAGGAATGCGGGTCGCGAGCGGGGACGAGACACGCGGATTTTGTCATCCCGTTTTGCGGAGCAAATTTTTTTTGAATTGTATGCGTCCGCGTCGGTGTCCCGAACCGTGAACGACCGGTGTAAACGAACTAAAGCTGACAAGCACTAATCCCAAAACGAAGGATCTAAAGGATCCTTTGCTGTCGCCGGATGAATCGCGTTGGAAAAAGGGAATCCCCAGAGCTGGTGCTTCGTTCTCATTTCTTTGCGCTTCTCCGAGTTGCTCTTTTATTCGCGAGTTCGTATCCGGTTCTGTTCTCCTGGGACCACACGTTCAAGTGTAGTCTTGATTTCTGTCGGTTCCCGCTTTCTTCGGCCCTCGACTGCTGTCATCGACGGCACATGCTTTCCCGGAAGGAAGTATATCCTTAGTTTTCGGGGAAGATATGAGTAAAATGGCTCTGCTGTGATGTTTCGTCGACTGGAACTTTTCCCTCTCGCTCCATCTTGCAGCGTCCGCTCCCGACTTCAGAGACCTTTAATCGCTGTTCCTTCGTGATCCAGATTGCCCCCCCCCCTCATTGTCTCGCGTTCGTGGTTCAAAGAACCGTCATCAACTATTCTGAGATGAGCGAATGACATTTTTGCTTGTGAATGTGCACTACATGCAGGGAAGTTGTTGACTGGGCGTCGAGACTTGATTTGGCACCGCAAAATCTTATCGGGTGAGGCTCGAACTCGCGCGCGCACTATCGCTTGATTTCTCCTCGCGAGTTGCTTGTGAAGGCGATAAAATGCCTGGCGATTTCTCCTTGTGATGGCGATTTTGTCGTACTTACGAAACTGGAGTGTATTGCTTGGATTTCCTGCCTTGTTGCTGCGTGTTTCGTTCGTTCCGATTCCTCGCTTTGCTCAGTTCGGCGTCGTTAATTCGTGTGGGGGCTTTGTTTCGAAGTCGGGTTTTATTCTTTATTTTCGCGAGAAGCCCCTTCGTTTCTTCCAATTGATCATTCCAAATGCTCCATTTCTCGACTTGAATGTTCGGCACAAGTCCCGCGCAACGTTCGCGTCCCGTGCGGCGACGAGTGTTTCCGTCCGGGACCCGTTTGAGAAGTGCCGATTCCACGAAGCAGTGTTCAGACCTCTTTGATGCACAATATCGCAGACCTGACTGTTGTGATGGGTGCGAAGTTGTACGAGGTAACATTCAACTTTCAGTCAGGCGCGAATTAGATGCAAACCCTTTAATTTTTCATCCGCGGAAGCCGAACTTGCGGCTGATTTATGTTTTTTTTTGCTCCTTGTAACTATGACCAGACCATGGTTGGGCAAGAATTGGTGGGCCAGTTCTTCAAGAAGCATCCCGCTTGCTCCACTAGACGTCGAAGCACTGCGGGAGCGTTTTTAGCTTGGAAGTTTATCCTGTCTTCATTTTTAAATGAGTGCTTTTGACGACATCCTGGGATGGAGATGATTGATGATGAGCGGAATATATTGCGGAGCGTGAATGAGGACAAGCGTGTTGTGACGAGGTAATCTAGTTCAGTCTGTTGCCTGGGGAAAGAAAGAATTGATTCATTCTAGATCGTATTTTTTATCGCTCGTTTTTGTACTGGCGCACCCCACAAGGAGTTTTAAATTGAGCGCGCAAATACCGCCGCCCGCTGGAATTCATCCGAGCAGAGAACGGGTCCTTTTAGAAGATTAAGTTGCCGCAATACAACTCGCCGATTAGGTTCCCGTTTATACGCGAACGGACTGCAAACGCTTCATTATGCCCGGACGATTCCACCGATTCCGGCCTCGGTCGCTGCAGGACCTGGCGTGCACAAAAAAATCGGTTCCGTGATTGGGACTCCCCGCGCTCAGTACTGTATCAGTGTTTCTCTCTTATCTCGTGCTCAGTGTTCACTTCAGATGTTAGGGAATAGAATGGACGCGTCATGTGTCCTCGTGATTTGACATGTTCGCCGGAAAGCGCGGAGGCCACGTTGACGGTTTACCTGGCGTTAGCACTTGAGTCGATGAAATTAAAAGCTTAAACATGGCCGCGGTCGATGTAGGAATTAATTAAAATGAGCTACGTAGGCAGCAGCGGCACACGCGTCACTGCGCTATTGAGAGGGCAATGTACAGCAAAGACATGTGTATTTCTTCTCGGCTGCCCTCGTCGTGGCAGGTCACAGTCCGTGCTCGTGTCCCATGTTGACTTCGGCGTTTTTTGTTCGAAAGTTTGATGGTTTTGTTTCGTTTTTTTGTTTGTTTTTTTTTTAGCTGCAACGCTGGAAACACTTAGCTTTTGACTTTCATGGGGCGCACAGAGGAGCGCAGGAGGCTCGAACTCCGCTCCGGGGTGGAAACATCCGTGGGTTAAGTTAGTTCAAAGGAAAGAACGCGCAGAGATCATGCAGAAATATGAGATGCGCGTGAGGCTACTTTCCAGCTTTCGGGACCGCCTAAAACGATGTTCTAATAGTTTATTATATCACTGCATCTGCTGAGCATGAAGTTGCGGAGCCCGAAAAGGGAAGAGAAAGGGGAATTCCATATTCCGGTTCGAAGAGTTTCTATATCTGCGTTTTCTACGATGTCTTTGATTGCATGTTTCATTTCGACTTTCCACTGCTCTTATAACCGAAGTTTTTTTTTCTTTTTCTTGCGTGCTGTATGCAGTTGCGATGGCTTGAATTCTTTGACAACATTGAATGAGATGTGGTCGTCCTACTCCAACCTTTTAACCGCTGGAACTATAGAATGTGGATTTCCGCACGCGTCTGGAATTTATTTCATTTTTTGATTCTAAATTATTCTTCACCTTTCCTTTGAAGACCACATATTGAAACTCAAGTATAATCAAGGCGGATCTTTACTGATACCTCCTGCAGAATATTCAGCTCCCTTCAAAGCCTGTGCATGAGCATAAGCAAAGAAGCAAACGTTAGAGGTCAATAATTTTCACGTCTTGTTGGGGAATGTTGCGGTCCTCAATGACCATAAAATGCTCTGCGCGGCTCTTTCAGATTTCATCCGCTTCTCATGACAAGCATTACACTAAAATTCAATTGGGGTACAAATTTCGCTCATCAATGTGGTTTTCATAATCGAAGGTTCATTCGTTTCTATGATATCACGCTGTGCTTTCATGATAATATTAAAATAAAGGCTGATGATTTGCCGAAATTTGGGCTGCAGAAAACTCCTTGTAATCTTAGCCCGAAATCCCGTTAAATTCAATAGAACTTGTATAGTGAACTCTGTCCCGCTCTTAATCAACGCAAACCAAGCTTGCAGTAGCAATTGCGATTCTTGTCCACACAAAAAGACATTGAACATTAGAGTCTACGTTAATTGACTTGTGTGATCGACACTGAACGCGGAATGTCGGCAAACGTACCGGTAGAATTTTTGTGCACCTTCTCGGTTAAACCAAAAAAGTATTTTCTCTAAATTTCTGGAATACGACTGTAGTTAATAACGAACAATGTGGCCAGATGGACGCAAGATTCACACCACTTGATAAGGATGGCACAAAAATATTGCATTTAATTTGGAGAAATGTTATACGTGAAAGAAGTGGAGAGACTTAGAAGTATAGGGTGCTGTCAAAAAATATAAATCACAATCAGCATCACTCGAGGTGGCCCAGCAAAGAAAGGCATGCAGTAAAGCCTATGTGCGTTTTGGAATCATACTGTTTTATGTAAGATAATCACATCGTACTTCCATCAAATCGATTGCGGATCAGGTTTCTTCGCAGACCAATATGGAAGTATAATTTGCGCGAGTACGACCCTCAAAAATTTGCGGTGATCAATGAAGTTTGAAATTGAGGAAGCAGAATGTGCGACTCAAATAATTCGTTCAACAATTGCACGAGTCGTTTTGAGCAACTAGTGCATAATAAAAAAGAGAACCTGGTTCATCAGACGCACAAATTTTTCTCTCATCTCCCTCGAAGCCATCGACCGGCGTGTAATTTTGGGATACATTATAAGATATTGGAAGCGTGAGTTTTCAATCATATTTTGCTCATTTTCAAGATTGTCTTTGATTAATGTTGCTGTCATTTTTGGTTACACCATTTCATATCAAGTGTTGATCTTGGAAATCTTTGACGTAATCTACTCCCTCGCTCTTCAACATTGTCCAAAATTTTTGTAACCGCTTAGTTGTGGCTCTTTCATTCTAAGCTAACAAGGGATTCCACAAAATCTTTAAATGAGAAGGTTTCGGAAGTGCTTGACTGATAATATGGCTCATATAGGCAACATACGTGAAAAGTTCTCTTGAGAGAAATGTATAATGTATGTGGTTTTATGTTAATGGAAATGAAAGACAACGTTTTCTGCCAGGGTTTTTTGTGAGAATGACTTATTGTTTCCTCATCACACAACATCGAATTTCACAAAAGCAACAGTTAAAGCATAAAAGGAAACCAGATCAAAGATAAAACACAAATGACCTGTCTACCTTGCATGGTGCTCTGGCATGTATCAAATTACAAACACAATAGCTTTGTGAAAAATAAAGATAAATAAATCTGAAGCCGTCAAAAGAAAGGCTATTTAAATAGCTTCAAAACCATTCCCTGGATCTTCCGGGTAAAACCTAATGATAAATAAATACGCCCATTCTTATATAGCCAAGTAACTTTCCGTGAGCAAATAAGAAAAAAGACCAAATTTATAATTCTCACTTGGTGGTCGAAAAAGTCATATGTGATTCTAAGTAAATGGTAGTTTATTGCCAAATATGCAAATCTCCAGCATTTCAGGGTAAAGGCTGCCATGATTTATATTTTCAAAATGTGTACTGTTTCATGCATCGTAATATTTTTTTCTTCTGGGTTTCACTAAAACTCTCACTGCAGACCATGAATCTTCTTGATCTTCAAAATCATTTTAGGTCGTGGAGTCCGAAGCTCTGAAATTAAGCGACATCTACTTACTTGGCATGATTCCTGTGAAAATTATTTTTCGGAACTCATCCTGGAGTGTCTCAGAATGTTGACACACGCATCGCGAAATGAATGAATACCGATGCGAAAAGATTCGAAGGTGTCAAACGCATATATATCAGTACATTAAATGAATGATAATGTTTTGCGACCCACTTAACAGTCTCATTATCGAATGAATTCATGAAATAAACTGCATCTTTGGTAGTGAATCCTGCTTATTGCGTCGTACTGGCGTGCAGCATTGCATGCTTGATGGAGATACAGTATTTTAAAACAGATAAGTCGACCGAAAGGGAACTAGGTATATTTATTGAGCGCAGGATGGAGGGCAGCTACGACGAACTTATGAACGAGATTATGAAAGCTTGAATTCAAGAGCATTCGTTTATTATTCCTGTCAATTCTAACATCTACCCATGACATTGGCATCAATGATGAAATAACGATTTTTCTGAGAAATGATGCAGGCAGTTATGAAATGAATTTCGCATCCAGCGTGATGCGTCGTCATGTGTGCGGAGATCGTAGAAAAAGAAAACTCCGGAGGAAAGCCCTCTCATCCGAAAAGATGCAGCATCTTTCCCAGTTGTTGAGCCGGCATGCTTATGCCTCAGGTCAGCGGGGATCAAGAGTGTTGGCTGGATGCGAAAGTGGACGTGACCCGTCTCGAATTATTTGGCCCAAAGCAATAACGGGCAAGATGAGGAACAAAACGGAAACAAAGCTCTGAACAACCCTGCTCGCATTAACCTCGAGCCGGCGTTGACTCTCTCTCTCTCTCTCTCTCTCTCTCTCTCAAGTGGTCGGAATATTCTACTTTTTTATTAAAACATTTCCACCTTTTTACAACGAGGTTGAAAAGCAATGAACAATTATTTGAGAGACGACTATGAATTATTCATTTGGAGCAACTAAAAGGTGATGTCGAAGTAGAAAAACGATTTTTTTCTTATCTGTTCTTGAAAATTATACTAGAATTTGCTCTGAATAGTTATTCTCCAGATACCTTTCTAAAAAGTGCACAAACATTTCTCATCTCGCCAACTGCAATCACATTCTCCTCTGAGTTTTACTTTTTTTTTCGGTATACTGTATTCCATTCAGGAAATCTCTGAAAAAATGCTGCATAATTACAATTTTTGTGATATAAGTAATTATGAAAGAATCGATATGAAAGTCATGAAAAAATGAGACACAAATTCAGAAATTCCGCCGTTGTTTTAAATAACCTTCTCGTTAGAAGATGAGTTTAAAAAAAAAAAACGGCAAAAATTAGTTGCTGGAAAAAAATGTAGCTGGAAACTAAAATTCATGTTCTAGACTCTCTCTCTCTCTCTCTCTCTCTCTCTCTCTCTCTCTTTTTCTCCTCTGTATGTCGAACGCCAGTGATGTTGAGGCCGTCGACAAGCATTCCTTGCTGCTGCAGGCGAACACCCAGCGGACAAGCCGCTGCTTGTCGCCTCGCGCGATTTTCTGTGGGGTTTCCAAACTGCTTCCCTCCTTTCCTCCTAGCGCCGCTTCTCCTCACCTTGGCAGGAAGTAACCACAATTAAGGAAAGTCGCTGCAGGCTGAGCTGTCGACATTCCGTCGAGTTTTAGCGCCTGGGCATTCGGGGAAGATTACTCTCGCCAGTTTCTCAGCTCAATCCTTTTCAACTGGTCGTCTTTTGCCAGATGGTACAAGGAATTTTTCGACGAAGAACGCGTGTACAACGGGGGCTTTTACAAGCATGTTCATGACTTCACTCGAAACTATCGGATGATGGGGTGATACCACACTCCCTGGCGGAAATTGAATAATTGAAGGCTGAATGCGAAGATATAGTGAACTGATCTATGATTTTGTATTATGAGTTGAAGCTTCGAAATCAATTAAAATTCTGTTTTACGTATTTAGTACTCGTACAAGTGGTACGCCCGAGAGGTGGTAAATAAACATTCAGCACATCTTCAAGTGGGTACATCAATCCACGAAATTTTCCTACAACCCCGGTACTTCGTATAATGTAAAGCTAGTGAATAAATTCCTTGTAGACAAAGTAATGGAATTATGTCAAATGCACCTTCCGAAGAATCCCTTGAAAAACACTCCATAACCAGTACACGAAAAAAAAAACGTGATCGACTTTTAATCTATACCGAACCGTGGATCCCAGATGCATGCTCGTGTATATATGAAAAAAAAATCTATGAACGAAGGATTCCGCCGACTGTACATTTCCTAAGCCTCGAGCTTTTATCCGGATTTTTGGCGGATTTTTCATGGCCCATTGAAATAATTTTACTGCATCAACATAAGCAGCGGAAGTAAATTCCTATACTTATACTGATGGTATAATAAATTTATCACATACAGTACGATCAATTTGTCAAATGCATCAAAGCTCTATACAACTGCGTAAAATCAAGAAACGCAATCTAATTAATCCTAATGAGAGCACATTTATGATAATCACTATGAAATGTGAAAATATACGCGGGAACGTTATTTTGCAGATGTGTAAGCCTTTCTTACAAAGAAACAGAATTGCAAACTGAGTTTAGGTAGAGAAACGGTTACTGAGTCCTTCTTTCGCCAAAAATCTATGAATTGTATTGATTCGATTGTAAAGAAAAAAGAAGACTCGCATAAATGCAGTTTCTGTCATTCATCGAACGATGCGCGATATTATTACCTCTGTGGCTCCGTAACAAACAAAAGGCTCCGTAACAAACAAAAAAGACCTAGATTTACCTATTCCCACGTAACTCTGGGAATTCCTTCATGGCGTGAAGAAAAAATATATACAAATCTTCTCTTCAAAGAATC